ATAATTTATTTTCCGCAAATAAATGCTACATTATTATTTAAACAATTGTGGGGGAGAATTCTCGCGAAGAATGTATAATACACGTATACATATAATTTCCTCTTCCACAGTTTAATAATAAAGTAATTGATTGAATACAAAAATGAGTCCTGCCCGAAGGGCACTGTCCAAACAGTGTATCTGGCTGTGTTCCAAAATTGACTGCCAGTACTAAAAATCTATAGTGCACGTAATGTAAATGATAGCATTTTCAGTGCTAGCTAAATTTGGAACACAGCCTTAATTGCGGCTGAACAGCGACCGGCTCATTTCGCGCGGACCGCGAGGTCAATTATTTATTAAAATTTAACACATTTTTTATCAGTGCAAGTCTGTCGCGTTTGCGTGATATTTCGATCTTCTTTTACGATCATAAATGACAATGTATCTCGAGAAGAAATTGTCGAGTATTGTGATCGAAAATGCGAATGAGATTCTCCTTTCGAGTGTCATATTATTAAGCGTTATTATTTCAGTCGCGAGATATTCCTTTGCGTGCGAGAATGCCTCTCGTATACATCCTAAATAACCTTCTCCCCTGATTTTTGACGGTGAACGCAAAGGCGAAAGGCCATCGAAAGAAGAGCGCGTTTTAACGCGACGAGATAGCGCCCTGTGAAAAGCATTCCAGCCACCACCTGCACCCAAACGCCATAATTATGTTTCTTGTGCGCCTGCTTCTGATACGGAGCGTTTGGATATTTTGCCTGCTGGAGGACAGTCTTTTGGCGTAAACGCCTTCTGTTAGACTGCAGGGCGCCTTTAAACGGCTCTTCGTTTTCACGCGCCTTTCATCTCGCACGAGTATGTGTCGCTGTCGCGTTTGTGTCGGCACTTTTGACCTCACCCTACAAAATATCGCATAGATTTAGATATATTATATTTAATACTTTTATAGATTTAAACTAGACTCTGTATTTCTCGAAAGTGTATTAGGCAATCTTTTTCGAGTTCAGTTTTTTGCTGCAAAAAATAATTGAACGTACGACTCTGCAAATCCAATTTTGTAAATGAAGGTGCCATTGAGATAAATTTATGGAATGCATTATAGAAATTTAATTATTGTTGAAGAATTATTATTGAAATTATATATAAATTCTATTGCTATTTCTTACGTATGAACATATATCTTTTTATAACGATTCACATCGTGGACGAAACGTGCCATTTAAAATAATGCTCGTACGACGTACGTATATAAAATTATCGGACTGCGTAGATGTAGCATAATTAATAAGCCGATACATAATAATCAATCTGATTCATAATAATCGCCTGATTCTAGGACAAACAATTTTTTCTAATAAGACGAAAATATATACTACTTCTAAAAATATATCAGTCGCGAAGGTGCTGAAGGCGTGGCACTTTATCAACGCTAAAATCATCGTTAATAAAAAAGAGGCTCCGAAACTGCGTGATTTACAGGGAGAAAAGAGCACACAACGAATACTTTAGATCAACCGGATTCACGCTCGCCGCGGAGAGATCCGCGGCTCTGACTTAATTCCCCAGGACCTATATTTATCGTATCCGATACCAGATTTCGAGCTGTCAAGTCGGACGAGCCAACGAGGCCTTTCCACATTGCGGTCCAACAGGAGTTCGCGTGACGGCAACAGACGTTGCTCTCCTCTCTCCATTCACTCCCTCTCTCCTCGTCGGTCTCTTTCTCTCTCCCTCTCTCTCTCTCTCTCTCTCTCTCTCTCTCTTCCTTTCTCTCTCCCGCTGATCCTCTCGTCTGATGCATTTTTTTCCTTTTTTCTTCCTCGACCGCCAATTCGACGGCGCCGACCAATCGAGCGGCAGAAAACTCGCTCTATAAGCTCTGCACGCAGGCGGACCGGGTCTTCTGCCGACGAAATCGACGGAAGAGGTACCTTCTCGCCCGCGGGGATCGCCGTGAAATAATCCGCTGATAAATTCCTCGAAGATCTTTCTCTCGCAGCAGAAAGGCAGAGAAGCGAGCGATTCTTTACGATCCGCTCGAGGCGGTCGATTCTTTGAATGAACATGTCCCATTGATGAACAACATTCGATTGTTAATTCGTCGATGCCGTTTGCGTCTTCCTTGATTAATAACTTTTATACGAGATGTTTCGTAACGTATTTCTTGAACAAGACAGTGATCGTATAATCGAGAACTGAGATATACTTCCTCATCCAAGACGTGTTAAGACGTCAATAATTTAATGTCAGGTTACGATTGTGAAAAGAGAATTTTGTAATTATAATTACTTGAATGACAGATATTTTACATTTTACTCCAATTATCAAAGCTAGATAAGCAATGATCCATAATGTTGTTAACATAGATAATATTTTATTAGCATAGTTGACATTGTGTTTTGTAGTGTAGTATATTGGTTGTAATTGTACGTATTCTAAATTTTAATTGAGCAACGCTCTAACATATAATAATAATATTGATTTAAGAATAATTAGAAATAGTTCAATAAACGTTGCTTCACTAATTTAGAATATGTATAATTGTAATACATATATAAAGCAGCGTCAATTATTCTAATAAAGTATTATTTGTGGTAACAACAGTATCAAACATTTATTTAACTTTTAAAATCGGAGAATACAATAAAAAATATCGTCTAAATAATTATGAATAGTAGTGTGTCTACTATCATTTAGTGTCAGTGTACTTCATTTTGACTTTTATGGCTATCTTTTCAGAGAAAACTTTTGGATGAATGCAAAAACGGAATTCTAGGACAACAGTACGAGCGTCAAAGCTGTCAAATGCTCCAAAAAATATATCCTAGTAAAAAAATTTTCAAGGATCAAAAAACAGTTTTTTATTCAACAAGTAACAAAGGAAATAGGACTATTATAGGAATCGGCATTGTTATTCGTACGCTATAATTATAGCGCACGAACAACAGCGCCGATTCCTGAATGGTAGCCTTATTTGTTAGTTGTTAAATAGAAGAAATCTAAATTATCTTTTGATTGCACTTTATTAAATTATTTATTCAAAATTCCTAGTTTTTTTCGGTCACTTTTATTTGTAATTCTGAATATCAAAATATTTTGCTGTAAGCTTAGGCTATAGCACACAAACAATTGCATAAGCATAACATAACGTAGCATAGCATAAGACTGCCTGGACTAATGAGCATGAAGTGTCATATTGATTTACATAACATGCTCATTGATCCAAACAGTTTTATACTAGCTATGCTATGCTTAAACACTTT